CAGTATATATACATATATATATATATATTTCTAAATAAGTTAATATATTTTTTCATATAAAAGCTTACTCTGACCCCTAACTCCCACTCACCAAGAAGAGCAGGCACAACATTAACTCAGATGTACAACAAATCTCCCTTTCTTTACTTTCTCCACTCTATTTGATTTCTACTGGTTGGCAGATTCACTAAAGGCAGGTCACGTCTTACTCAGCTTTGAGCCAACAGTGCCTAGCACACTACAGGCATCAATAAATGAATGGACTCATCTAGTTGATGTCCCTGTCCTTGAACTGTTCTTTTACAGATGTGTGATTAATGATACTCTTTTTAAAGATAAACTCCTTGTAGAAAATTTGACTTTGCATAGAATTTGATCTTTAGTCTCTCCTCTTGTTTTACACATGTGAAATATTGCCAAAGCATGAATATACTACTTTCAGTTTCTGTTGTGATGTGGAATTGAATTTGTATAAAATTTAAAAAATTGTATCTGGTTCAGTAATTTGACAAATATATTGAATACCTATCAAATTCCTGATGTTTGTAATTATTAATGTATATATTTTTTTCCCACTGTATATCACCTTTCTAATATTGGGCAAGAAATTGCTGAATTGTAAACCCTGGTAAGCCATGAAGATAAAAATAATGGGTCGGTTTGGGTTTCTTCAATTGTTTTACATCAAAAATATCAAAGTTTTTGGCTGTACAGTGGGCAATTTAATACTTATTTTTCACTAAACTCATCATCTTTCAATTGCTACACTGTGGGAAAAAATTACAGAGATTTGTGAAATTACCCAAAAGGAATTATGCTATTTTGGGGAAATTAATCAGCTATAGTAGGCAATTTATGTTTTTTAAATAGAGAAACCTTTTGTCATACGTTGTATATAATCAGTGCAATAACTAAGCAAAAGTTTTCAGCATGACTGTACATCAGAATCACTTTTGGAACTTCACAAAAATACAGACTACAATCTTATTGGATGAGTTGTAAACATATGTATTAGAAAAATATAGAAGGAAAACACAAACGTACTTGTAGTTAATGCTGATATACAACCAGTTGAGAACCACTGAATTAGAATAGAGAATTGATGAAGATTTCGAATGTAGTCTAATCTTTGAATGACTGTAGACGGATTGAGGATTTATCATTATTAGTAGTAAAGGATGTCTTGTTATCATCCATAGACACTATAAGAAAGTGGCCAGTATAGCAGAGATCTTTGTGGGATCCAAATGGCTAGGAATTACAAGAGATTAGTTGACAATATAAAATTCAGAACAACAAAAGACCCACCATATTTATTTTTTGCCTTGAATCTAGATCTCTACTTATGTTTTGCTCCCTTGATCTTTAGTGAAGAGAGAGGCAAATTTTAAATTCTTCTACTATTAATATATTTTCATTTATTTTTCCTTTTAACTTATTTCTTCTTGAGGGAAGGAGCTTTTAAAATATACTTTGAAACTTAAAGAAAAGGTGCAAGAATAGCACAAGTTACTTCCTTATCTTTTAACAAAATTCATCAGGTTTTTACATTTTGCCTCATTTACGTCTCATTTCTATGCATTTCTTTCTGTCCCTCCCCACACAGAATTATGAGCTAATCAATGGGTGATGTTTTAAGGCACTAAATTTATTGGTAATTTTGTTACACAGCTATCTAATAAAAATAGAATTCTAAATAATCTGTGAGTCTTATAAGAAATCACAATAGAAATTATAAAATGTTTACAGTGAGAGAAAATGAGTAAAATCTTCTAAACTGAAAATGATCTAATTTGAATCAAATGAAAATATCAGTGTTTGATGTACAGTTATGCTCATATTAGAGGAAAATTTAGAGCCATAAATGTAAATAAAGGAAAAGCAGGAAGTCAACAATGTAAACATCTTTTTCAAGAAATTAGAAAAGAATGACAAGCAAAACCCAAAGACTATAATGAAGAAAATACTGAAGAAAATGATGAAAACCTGTGAACTAGAAAACAAACATACAATAGAGAATCAGCAAAAATTTTCTTGGAAGATGTTGATAAAATTGGTAATACTTTGGCAAGAATGATTATGAAAAATACTGTGGAATATAAGATAAAGCAAATGTACTTCACAGGGCCTGGTTTTCCAAAGCCTTGCAGTTTCAAATATTGACCTTGCAAAGGACAGGAAATTTTCCTCAGGCTATAAAGTCTCTGCTGTAAGATAAAGAATTCTAACACAGCAAGGTTGCTGGCTCAAAGACAGCCTAGTTACTGATTAGTATGTAAAGATACCAGGAAATTGATGTAAGAAGGAATGTTTGCTAAGATCAAGCTTTTGTTGGTGGACCACTTAATTGCCTTAATGGTCTGTCATCTGACTTGTCTTTACTGAATGTTATCAGCTTCTATTGTTAAACTTGTTAAAACTTTAACCCCACCTGTGTCTCTTACTGTAATTTCCTGGGCTAAAGAGTAAATGCAGGAAGAAAACCCCAATTCGGGGTTATTTTCCTAAGGAAGGAATGCCTCTCACTTGAGGGTTCCAGGGAAGTTAACCAGTTTGGGGCTTCTCACTGCTCAGAAGAGATGGGCTTTGAGTAATCCTTTGCAGCTCCATCACCCAGGGGAAGAGGGGTGACAAATCCATGGGGGGCAAAGCAACAAAATACTAAATTACCAAGTAATTAGTATCAGAAATAAAAAAAGAGTATTTTATTAAAAATGCAGTTCCTGTGGATAATAAAATAAGATATTCTGAGCAACTTTATGCTATTAGTCATGAGAATTTAGATGAAATGAACACACTCTTAGGGAAATGCAACTTACTATACTAATACAGAAAGTAGAGAATATAAATAGTCATCCATTTAAGATATTGAATCTGTAATTAAAACCCTCCCACAAAAAGGCAGTTGAGTTTTTTTTACCAGTGAATTCTACAAAGCTACTTAAAAGAAAACATAAAATCAGTCTTATACACTTTTTCATAGAATAGAAAAAGAACACTTCTCAGCTCATTTTATGAGGACACTATAACTATTTAATGAAAATATAATAGGACCTTATAAAAAATTAAATTATGGTCTAATTTTTCTCAAGCATAGAGGCAGCATTCTAAATTTTTTATAGATCAAATTATTGATTGGAAAGGGGAAATAAAACTATTCTTCACAATTAACATGTTTGTGTTTGTAGGGAATTTAAAATAATTGAAAAAAACAGAGTTTTTCCTAGCTCATTTTATTATAAAGAGTTATCTGATTTTGTCACCTGTTTATATCTTGCTGCTCATTATTGTTCCATAGCACTTACTGTCTGGAACATTAATTTGTGACCTTGATTATTTTGAATATTATTGGGATCATTCTAAATAGGCTTTCTAGAGTTGGTAGCAACCTTACAGGTGAGTGAACAGAGTACTAAAGAGGTGAAATGATTTAAGATAGTATAGCTAGGTATAGCAGATCTGTATTAAGAATAGAGGAATCCTCTCAATCCATTTGAATTACTTTGTTTACATATACCTAATTTTCTTGAATTTGTTTGGTATAAGAGAGGGAAGAATGTGTGCTGTTCTTTTACAAATATTATTACAGAGTAGGAAGCATTATAGGAAAGGCATGAGCTTTGGGCAGACCTAGATTTAGAAACTCTTGTGAGAGAGTACAGGAATTGTAACAATTAGCTAATAACATATATTTATTTCGAGGCATTAAATGGGATAATGCATTATTACAGAGTAGGAAGCATTATAGGAAGGGCATGAGCTTTGGGCAGACCTAGATTTAGAAACTCTTGTGAGAGAGGACAGGAATTGTAACAATTAGCTAATAACATATATTTATTTCGAGGCATTAAATGGGATAATGGCTATCAAAGCATTAAGCGTTTTCATACAAAAATACTTGATGTTCAATAAATTTTGATGTGTTTGCCCTCTCTTCCTTTCGTTTTAGTGCTGTAGAATAGCTCTGTGTTTATAAGCCTCATTTCATTGGATTTGAATTTTTTTTCTGCTACTCATAACCCTGTGATCTTGGCAAGTATCAAAGTTCCTGAATCTGTTATACAGATTCATAATAATACTGTTCTTGTAGTGTCATCATGAGGATTGACATTAATATAACACATAGCTCCTGAACAAATAATATTCTTGACATGTGGGAGGTAGTAATAGGACTACAATTATCTGGTGACATTATTATCTTAAATGACCTGTCCTCCCTAGCTTTGCTTGGAAGAATCATTAATAATTGTTAGATCAGTGATTATATGGAGCGTGTTATAATAGAGTTGCCCATGTAAGAAGCAGCTGGATCAAATGTTAATCAAACACAGTTTTGATTGGGGACTTCTGCTTAAAATTAGGCTCTGTTTTCTTTATCCATGACATAATACCATTGATATGTATTGAATTGTGTTCCCCAAGGTTTTTACATTAGAAGCTCAATCCCCAGTGTAACTGTTAAGAGGTTGGGATATCCTATTATGGTAATTGGAAGGTGGGGCCTTGAAGAGGTGATTAGATTGTGAGGACTGTGCCATAGTGAATGGATAAAAAATGGTCGTCATAAGTGTGGTTCTGAGGGCTTTAAAAGGAGAGCTTGGGAGAGTCTCTCTCTCTCTGCTCTGACACTTTGCCATGTGAGACCCCTGTCTTACTGTTGCCACCACCAAGGCCTTCACCAGATGTGTTCCCTGGACTTTGGGCTTCCCAGCCTCCAAAACTGTAAGCAGTGAATTTCATTTTCTTTATAAATTACCCAATTCCAGGTATTTTGTGATAAGCAACAGAAAGAAACTAATACAACTATGAAATGCATCCAGGGTTTCTGGAGCTGAATATCACTAAGTCATACAGTTTATATTTTTAAGTCAGACCATCTCAAATAAGCCTTCCAAATTTGAAGAGAATTGTTTTAACCATTGTCACTTGTTTTCGTCACTTGTTTAAGTTTCGTTTGAAACTTAAAATTTTATCTATTGTCTTTTTTTTTTTAATCTCAGAAAGAATTTCACAAGAACTTTGTATAGTTATGGACACAAAAGAAGATAGAGAACACGTAGGTCATCTTCTTGAAGAAGTGCTAAAAAATGAATTAAATGTAAGTATTTAAAGACTGAGTTTGATAAACTTTATTTGCCACAAATTTTTAGAGTATAAAAATATCTTCCTTGAAAAGGCATCAAAATTCTTCAGTCCTAATGTTCTTATTTTGATGAGATCCTTTGGTCTGCCAACACTTATGACTTGAGATATTATACTCCATCCCCCTTTCCATTCCTCTTACAGGTTTTCTTTCCATCTCCACGTGGGACTTTCATTAGAAAGCCCTGCCCAATGCATGTTCTCCCCAGCCTAAAGCCAAGACTTGTCTTGAGAGCCACAGTGCCCAGCACATGCTAGATGCTTGGTAAAGTTTGTTGACTGTATGAAGACGAGAGAGATTAGGAAGACAGAGGGGAAAAAAGAGAGACCGATAGTGACAAAAGATGGGATAATCATGATATTGAAAAAGTGAATATAAGTTCCTCATTTTTGAACTGATCTTCTTAGTTAAATTCATATCTAATATTAGGGCTAGGAAAATAGAAGAAGCAGTAAGTTTGGGGTGTCTGTAAGGAACTACTTGAAACTTTCACCATTAAGAACTTCCACTAATCATTTTTATGACAACTTTGTATTTTGAGGCATTTTGTTTACCTAACGGATTTTAGTAAACTTTATGTCCCTGTTTTCATTAAAATTGAAACTTCCAGAGTTTATGATCAACATGTGATGACTTTTTTAACAACATATACGCTATAGTTCTAGTCAAAAGCAGAAGAAGAAAGTTCATTTTGGTTAGCTGTGTAATTTTATCACAGCGTCACAGTTGGAGGGAGAATAGGCTCTGATGTAAGACTGCCTGCACTTGGATGTCAGCTTTGTTGCCTAATTTCTTTATCTGTAAACTGAAAACATTAATAACATGTACATTATAAAGTTGGGAGGAATGAATAAAATAGATATATTTAAGCAATTTAAATATATCTATTTTATTCATTCCTCCCAACTTTATAAATTGCTTAGAAAAACATCTGCATACAGTAAGTTTTTGATGAACACGAACTATAATGATTAAACTTTCAATGATAAGTTGAGACAGTGGTGTGACGATAGGGGACTTGGGTAGTAGAGATTATTATTATTTCCCAAACTGCAGTGCTGTATTGGATACATGAGTAGTTAAAAGCATAGATTCTTGGGATGTATAAAAATTTAGTGAACCCTGGTCTCTGGGATAAGTTCTAGAATCTAAGTTTTTAATGAGATCCCTTAGGTGGTTTTGATGACTGTCAGTGCCAAATTCTACAGTAGCATTTGAAACAACAGTCCAGAGCTGAGAACGTCACAGCTTTCTAGTTGTATTTTAGGAATAAAGGTCATACTATAATTTTCTGTTCTGTGTTGTTCTTATTCATTGGCTTTCCATGCATTCCCCATCTACCTTTGGAACTTTTACTACCTTGTTCTCTGCTTTCTGTCTTAAGTCCACCTGTTAAGAATCTATTTCTAAGTTCTATGTCCCAGTTTCACTGTAGAATATTTAACTATAGGTAACTTTCCATTGCCTGATCTACTGAAAAATAGCTGCCTCAAAAATAGCTTTCTGCTATTAGATCATCTCATTCATGCTTTATCCACTCAGTGCAGAAGCCATAAGACGGGACACTCAAGGAGTGCTGCTGGAACACTGGATATCAACCAACCCTAAACTGAGAGAGCTAGGTTTCTATACTGTTGTTGAGCAGCCAGTTGCTGGATCCTGTATGTCTAATTCATTGAGTTGGGCTTTCCAGCATTACACATACCCTACAAAGAGTCTTTTTGGGTACAGATACTGTGATACTCACTTTTTGGTGCTTTTCCTATGTGTTTTTAGTGATGAAATGACATGGCATTCAGGGATACGCATAAAGGTGCATCACTGTCCTTATGTGATTTATGCAGCACCCTGTCTTCTCAGGTCCTGTTCTCCTCATTTCCAGTGACCTTAATTTTCAGTGTACTTCATCTACCTACCCCTTGGGCCTGGTGTACATATTGCCATCATCTTACCTGTGTTGAAAAACAAATACTAAGTCTATTCCTCTCCTTATCACAATATTTTATTATTCCATTTCTTTTACTAAATTATTCCCACTGTACATAGTTCAATTTAATGGGGCATTCCAGGCTCCCTATCTTCTCCTTCTCTTTCAGACACCCTTTGTTTGATACTCTTCCTTACCTTACTTAGATTCCATGCTGCATCATTTCAGTCATTTTTCTACCAAAACCATCAACTCCCTGGTCCTGATCCTTCCGAGGCACCCACTTGGGAAGACTCTATTCATGGGTCAGTCTTTCACTTTCTTTGAGCCTGTACTCAATCTTGAACAATGTTGGCTAAAATCATACAACAGTGCAGATTGTTGCCATTAGAAATACTGCTTTTCGTTCTCCAGTGGGCACTGAATGTTTCAAAGCAATCATGCTATGATTCCATAGTGAGCACTCATTCTCCTTAGTGGATGTTTTAGACCTCTTCCACTCTCCTCAAATGCCTAATCCAGGTTTTCTTATCCTCAGCACTATTTACATGTTGGTTTAGATAATTCTTTGTTGTGAGGGGGTGTCCTGTGCATTGTACACTGTTTAGCAGCATCCCTAACCTCTACCTAGTAAATGCTACTATCAACCCCCCTCTCACAGTTGTAGCAGCCAGAAATGTCTTCAGACATTGCTAAATGTCACATAAAGGGAGGCAAAATTACCCCATCCCCCAACCCCCAAATGAGAACCCCTGCCTTAACTCTATCGACTTTACTTCTACTCTTAGATATGGTCTTGTCTCCAACTTCAAAGAGTAATTCTACAGTTCCATATTGGGTGTCTCTATCTTCCTGGCACCATATCTCTAAAAAATCTTGTATCCATAGCTGTTCTCTTATTAAGACTATTCCCTCTCCTGAGTTCTGTCTCTTCTCTCCTCCTTCCCCACTCTGTCACTTCCATCAGCATGACAAAATATGTAAGTTCCTTCCATTAAAACAAACGAATTCTCTCCTAACCCAAAGTTACCCTGCAGTGAGACTACCATAAGGTAACCTATTTTCTCACCCCTCAGTCTGTTACAATCTGATTTCCATCCCAACTTTTCCCTTGGAGCTGCTCTTAGTGAAGTGCTCAGTGAGCTCCCTACTGATAAATCCACGATATATTTATTAGTTCTAACCTTACTGGATTTATTGCAGTGCTTGATTCTTCTAGAAGGAATCTTATCCTATGGATTCTATAGCATCTTTTTTTGTTTAATCATTCTTTTATTTGGGTTTCCTTTTCTTGGTTTCTTTTGCAGGATTCTGTTTGTAATTTTTAGGTTTCTGCACACAGGTGAGTGGGCTTCTCTAAAAGCAATGCTGATGGGTTCACATATCATTTATTTTCTAGGGACACAAATTATTCCCTAGCCCTAGGTTTAGTTATTCACTATCCTGTGTTTCAGACCTGTATATCTGATCTGATGTTCCTCAGAACATTAAACTTAAATGTAAATCACGTTTCACATTTATAAACTGTTGTACCAGCTAGTCCTTCTCTATCTTCTGGAAATGTATATCATACCTAGTTACCTACACCTGATGTCATCTTTGACTAATTCTCTCTCTCTCAGTACCCCTGAAATGTATCCTTTTGACTTAATCACTGTTGCCACTATCCTAGGCACCCCCAACTCTTGTTGGGATTATTGCAACAGTCTGCCGACTGACCTTCAGCCTCCATTCTTGCCCCAACACAAATCTGTTTCTTGCTTTCCATTGCTCCTAAATTAGTGTAAAAATTTCTTGCCATGTCTAAGTTTTTTCGTATTACTACTACTAATAATGAAAGTGACAAAAACAGTAGTAATATAAGCCTACAGTTTTCAGCACCTATTTTGTGCTAGGAACCATAATGTGTGCTCTTAACAACCCTCTGAAATAGTTACTATTATCCTTATTTTTCACAAAAGAGAACTGAGATGCAGAGGGAGTGTACAAATCATCCTTGCTAACATCGTTGTGAAGTGGCAGAACAGGAGCATGAACTTTCATTCACATGAGACCAAAAGCTAGTGTCTTAACAGACACGCTTGCCAAATAGCCCTACACTGTCTGCACTGTGCACTCTGCAGGCCAGCTATACTTCTTTTAGTTTTTCAAATGCAGTATTGCTTTCCTACCTCCAGGGCCTTCACCTACGATGCCATGTTCCTCAGGGAGATTTTCCTGCCCACCTTTCTCCCCAAACCTGGTTTATATGTCCTTCTATTGTGTTCTATGGGATACTGTACGATCCCATATGAGGTCATCACAGAGCCTAGTGCAGTCTTGATACAAGAGGGACACTTATTAAATGTTGAATAAATGAATGGATGGATAAATGGCCATGACTAGTTATTACCAAGTTGATCGTTGTATTATGTGTTGTATTATGCTTATTGCATAACAAATTACCCCCAAATTTAGTGACTTTAAATGACCGACATTTACTATCTCATGGTTTCTTTTGGTCAGCAACGTACATGTGGCTTAGCTGGGTTCCTCTGGCTGAAGGTCTCTCATGTAAATATAGTCAAGCAGTCTGCTAAAAGCTGGGGCTGCAGTCTCATCTCAAGATTTGATGGGGAAAGGGATTTTGTTCGAAAATTTACCAAAATGGTTGTTGGCAGGCTTCAGTCCCTTTCCTTGTGGGCTTTTCCATATGACTGCCTTGCAAAATGGTACTCAAAGTTGAAAGCACAGTCTTTTTGTAATTCTTACAAGTGACATGCCATCACTTGTGTCATTTTCTGTTCATTTGAAGCACACCAGTATGTCCAGCCCACACTCAAGGTGGGGGGAGAATTATGCAAGGTTGTGAATACTATGAGGTGTGGGTATCATTAGGGGGATTTTAGAGGCTGCCTATCACAAACATATCTGTTACTAACGTGAAAAATAAAATACTAAAGTGGCCATTCTTGCCTCCTGTAGTATGCGAGGCAGTACTGTATATATGTCTGATTCTTCTCTGAATATCAGAAATTTGCCTTATTCT